TCTTGCCTCCATTTGCCAAGAAGGGCATCTGGAGATCAGTGGTGGCCATCACTCTATGGAACATTTGGCTAGGGAGAAACAATAGGACATTTCAGAAGAAAGTTGGAGAGCTATCTCTAATGCAAATTAAAATCTTGAACCATCTCTTTCATTGGATGCAATCCACAGCTGAATTTGCTTCCATACCTGAGCTGACCTTGATACTAGGCTTCATTTATTGGCCAATCTCAAGAGCAGGACAGTCAGTAACCAATATGCATGGAAGCTGCCACTAGAGGGCTGGGCAAAACTCAATTTTGATAGAAGTGTTAGAGAGATGACATCCGCTGCTAGATTGGGGGTTTGTTTCATGATCACAATGGTAATACCATTTGGACCTATCATGGAAGATTTCCGATGTGCAACTCCAATGGAGCTGAATTGTGATCACTACTCGAAAGGGTTCTTGGGACTGCAACGAGAGCAACAGAGTGTCATAATAGAGGTCCCCCCCCCCTTCAACCCTAAAACTAAGTGGAGGTGGCAAGCTTTAATGGACGAAATCCAAAGGGAGTTAGAAGGTGTACAAGTTCTCTTCCCACATGTTCTCAGGGAAAGCAATGTAAATGCAAATGAACTGGCTAAAACGGCCACCCTTTCGTTTAGTAGGGGCTGAGTTTTTTCTTCTTTTTTTTTTTTGAACAATCAGTATTCTCACTTCTTTTTTTTTGAAAGATTTAAGTTCGTGGGGACTTAGGCTCCACCCATAGATAAGAAAAAAAGATTCCATCATAGGATTCGTTGATACTAATGCCAAGGCCGCAGGCCAGTCTGATTCTCACTTTCCCTTTGCTCTTTCTAGCTCAATTGTACGGTGCTGAAACTTTTCATCTGCCTATTGTTATTGGGGATCTTCCTCTCGGGGTATCTCAAGGCCAAAGATAACCTTAGAGCCAGGTAGCCCAGTTTATTTTATGTCGATAGGCAGAAGTGATTTTTGTTTTGCTATATATGGTCTCATTGTACATCTCAGATTTTACATAGTGTGAAGTTAGTGACCCTTCAAGAGAGTGATACTCTCGATGCTCTTGTGAGAGTGGGAGAAAAGGGGCAGGCACTACGTAGGAGCATAGGCCCAATATTACAAAGGAAAGAAGGGTGCAGCAGTACAAAATTAATCTTCAATTGTTTCATGTGCTCGTCTTATGAAGTAGCGCGCTGAAGAGTAAGTAGACTGAAAACTTATAAGATAAAGCATAGAATGAAGAGGGTTGGAACTTGGGACGGAGAGAGGAAGAGTGGACAGATTCGTATAAGCAGTCCTCCCTGTCTATCAAATACGTCTAACAAACCCTACCTAATTTAAGCCCGCCGCTAAAAAATTAGGGCCTGGGCCACAAAATATTCCCTGAGGACAGAGCAAACATGAGGGTTGGCCCAGCCCAAGCCCCTCTCATTGCCAGTCCTAACTCAAATCATAGATGGAACAATTTGTATTCTAAATGTGTAGAACAAAGAATGGTATTGAGCTTTGGTGGTAATATTGTCGAGCTTCATGGTGAGGTCTCCGACTCTATTCTCACCAAAAGGTATGGTCCTAAATCCCCACTGACTTTTGGGAATAGAGTTAAGGTCGTGGTGGCAACACCACTTGAACCTTAGTTACCTACCGATCTTAATTTTGCATTCCTGCTGACGCATTAAAAAACCGCGAATTATTTCTAAAAACGGGTATGGGCCTGTATTCCCCATTGATCTACCCAAAAAATGTGTAGAATGTTATAATAATCAATTAGAAAATAGAATTGTGGAGAAGGCAAGTTTCATAAGAAGAAAACCAAAAAAGGAAAACACTTGAAAAAATAAAGACTATTATTAAGGGTTTCTTATGAAAAAAACCCTTACTAGATTCTTTTTTTAAGACATTGAACTTATTGAAAACTTATTTTTTATTTTGGTTCGTCTTTTTTTTGTAGAGGCAAAATATATTTTGCCCCCCTTTTAAAACCGAATTCCTAGTCTCATTCTCTCATCTTGTACAATTTTTTCCCATGCTTTCTTCTCACCCCTTAATCTATCTCACAATAAACATAATTTTTTAGGCTCCTCTCTCACATTCTCTCTAACTCATTATTTTATGTTCTTCCATTCTCCCAACATGTGCTTTTCTAGTATCACATTCTCTCTAGAAACCCAATGTAATTCTTATCTCATCTTATAATCTCTCTCTATAAATATAATCTCATTTTTGCCTCCAATCACATTCTCCCTCTAGAAACCCAACCCCATTTTTTCCCCCTCATATTCTCTCTCTAAAAACCCAATCTCACTTTTACCTCCACCCACACTCTCTCTCAAACCCAACCACATCTAAAAGTACTCTTTACTCTTCGACATCTGTTGTGGTGCATGATGTACCATAAGCCAATGGTGTATGGTACAACTTCGCCTCAAAAGTATTAACGTCCATGAGAAACAGTAAATAAACTCTAAAGGGTATAGTTTGTATAGAGCCAAGGCTCTAAACAATCAAAGTAAAGCACACCTTCAAGTAGTATCGAGAAATGTGGTTTTAATACTGGAAATCTTTGTAATAGCCTTAAAATATATTTCCATCTTTAATTATAAAATTGAAAACTTCAAAAATAGTATCGGTCAAGCAGATCTATGAAAACTTGAAAATCTTGAAAATTGACAGTCCAAAATTGTATTACAAGATGCACTATTTCCAAAACTTGAAATCCAATTTTTTCCTCATGTCCATGCATTCGATGTCGAGATGATCAATTTGAAGATATTTCGACATCAAAACAACCTCTTCTAATGAAATGTTTTCCAACTCAAAAACGCCCACTTTCCAACTCAAAAAAGGCTTAGATTGTAGAGCATCAACTCTATATAAACTTTTTCCAACTCAAAAAAGGCCCACTTTCCAACAAATTTTGCAAATATAATGTATTTATGGCGACAAAGAATAGCAGGGAACACCGTAAAAAGGTTTGGTTGTCATCTCTTCATAAAGCTACAATACTTTTCTTAAATACTACTCCCTTCTCAGTGAATAAAGTGAGGCAAAATTCTAATAGTTTGATAATAGGTTGATAAGTAGTTTGTTTTGATTGCACTACGTTCGATGTCCAAAAAAAAATTTCTCAAACTTTGTGACACTCTCAACTGCTTGTTCACATCTAACAGTTGGGAGTGATTGTGACTTTGTATCATCATATAATACACTACCAAGAAATAATGGGTTATGTAACCAGGTCCCTAATTACAGAGAGACAAGATCTTCATGCAAAATATGTCCATACATTAATGAAAGCACCATAATGACATGCAACAAACTATTCAAAATAATTAAATAGGAAAGAATATACAACAGTAATGTAGCCAAAAAAGAAAAAATACAGCATTGGTTTTCAATTGTCAACTTTATTCATATTTTTCCAACAAATAGATTACAATAGTAGTAACAGTGCCCCAAGAGAAGCCAATGTAAGCGTCTCAAAGTCCACAAATCAGTTGCAGCCACAATACCATCTCGAAATACCATCATTCATGATTACGTTATTTTCATTTGAAGCTTACCATTATTTGCAAGTACATCTGCATTGGATTTGCTTCCAACATGATGGAAGAGAAGAATTTGAGAAAAGCCAATATCCACTATCTCATCAAAGAGCGTTGCAGTATTCAGAATGTCACATGCATTTCTATGCACAATTTTGTTGCAAAGTGAACATTCCTGTGAATGAAATTATAATGCTATAGGAAACGATATTGCTGATATCAAAAGCACCAACTATGAATCAAGTGTATATTGCTGATATCAAAAGCATCAACTATGAATCAAGTGTATGCCCCTCATCGAAAGCTCAAACACCACAAAGCAAGACGCATCCAAAGTGGCAGAGGTCATGAAAAGCATTTTGGAGTAGATTAGTTGTCCATCCTAATACCACTCTTTTGCTAGCACATTTAACCTCAAAAATGTTGGCTGCCATACAGTAGTTAATGTTGCGACTGCTTTAAGGCTTTTGCTTGAACTTTACAAACTACATATTATTCTGTATAGTACTCCTTCATAGAAGTAAAATAAGTATGATACCTTAGTATGCACCATGCTTAGCACTCATTAGCTTATGCACCATAACAGGGTGGTTCTCACACATCTGTAAAAAGAGAGTGGTAACCCTATTTGGCTATGGGGGAACACGCATGCAATCTGCAGGATTCATATTTTCTGACCCCCAGGGGAAGGGACTGGGTCCACTGATGGGTGGAGAAGTCTCTGATATCCGGTTTTTTATATTTTTAGCCTTTTCCTCTTGTTCTCATCTGTGCTGGCCTCACTCGTTGATCTAAGCTGTACTAGTCTATCTTTGATTGAAATAAAAGAGGTAAAATAAGAAATGCTACATATGTGGTTTGACATTGACAGAGAATTATTTGATGTTCGAGAAAGAATAGCAAGGGGAAAGGGTTGGCTGCTGTCACTCTGTATACAATTACTAAGGGGTTTATCTTAAATTAGGAACTTCCCTGTATTATTCCTAGACCTGTACTAAACAAAACATAATTTTTTCTCCATAAATGTAAAGCTGGGGTCTCACTAAAAACCTAGGCATATCACGACAAAATATTTGAAAAAGAAGTGGTACACATCGGTAATGATTGGCATCATTACTCAGAAACAAATACGCAATGGGCTAATGACCCTTTCACTAGGCTAATCCAGATATATCGATGGTGCCATGCAACACAACGGCCACATGGCCAGATGTCATGAAGCAGATCACATGCATCTAATGCCTCTTCTTTTTTTTGGTGTACAAGCATAAAGTGACATTTCCAAGACACATGCCCACACTGACAAAATCTGTAGAATGCAACATAAATTTAAAACCCTAGATCAGATCTAAAGCATCACATGCTGAAAAAAAAATCTTCCCTTCCAGGGACTTTTCAACAAAATGACATGAAAGCCCTTCAGTTTCAGTGTTGCTAATTGCCACCTAGAATTCAGAAATCATTCTTTTCCTGACCATAAAATGGATGAGGAAGCATCCGCCCATACATGTGGTTGTGCCACAGTGAATCGAAATTCAACATCAATACATTTACAAAAAATCAAGGTGTAGAGAATGTCCAATGTTAGCCCATTAATGTTCCATGATTCTATGTGAGATTGAGCAGCACAAAACTTACAGTGACATTAGACAATCCTGAGGGTTAATCATTTCATGTCCTGAGAAGAATGTATTTTTGTAACTGAGAGACCTCATGTCTTTTGAACAAGGTCTTTTTAATAGGCAGTCATGCTTTCATCAAAGAAGCAATTTTGCCTGCAATTGTTAGTTTCCTTCATCATCATCCACCAAGATTAAGCCTCGCCTGTCCATTAAGATCAGTGAAAGAAAATGTCACAATCAGTCACAAACCGTCAAAACAAGGTAAAAAGACTGAATGGTTACCTGTGTTGTGGGATAACCTTCTTCCTTGTTTTGGAAGGTGCAGAATGTTGAGGTTGTGCTGTCCCTGCAATCAGAGCATAGATATGCAAGCTTATGATGAAAAATTCCAATGAGGACACTCCTTTACTATAGCTAAGTGTTTCTTGATTCAGTTTTATAAGTTAAAGCCTCCCTCTATTGCTCATTCTCTCATGCAGTAGAACATGCTAAGCAGTGATCCTAAAAAAAGGAAAATTGCAAAGTTAAAGCCTCTCTCCTTCCCCCTCCTATCTCGTTCAAATGTATACTATAATCTCAATTTTAAACAAGGAAACATGAAGCGCCCAATGTTATCCCGGCAGGAAAAGTTACAATCCAAAATGAAGATACAAAATTTGCCTCCCATCAAGGAACACGAAGATCAGTGAACCCTAATTCTCCACCCTATATGCTAAATTGATGACAAATACTACCATGTCATATCGGAAAGAAAATAGAGCACAAAAAATTGCATAAAGTGGGAATTGGAGAAAAAAGTAGGTGGAGGGACATTCATACGTTAGTACTGATCTAGACGTAACAAGATCCAAGAATAATGCAGAATGAATGGTTGCATTTGGAGATTGATTTTTTGTTTGGCAAAAAACTCCTACATTTTCATCCTATTTGCAGAAAAACAGTCTTGTTCAGAACTTCAAAATGACTTCTATTCATCACATCAGAAATTGGAAAGATTTTAAGTTTTTGTCCAAAACATTGAACCCGTGATCATGCATTGTTTCCAGCCATGCAGCACTCCAGATTCAACAATTTTTCACTTGTTCACTTCTCGCATATATCACAAAAGGAATGTAATGCCAGACATTTTGCATGTAAAAGGGAATGTTATGTTAGAAACTTGAGTGTGTACTGTGGAAAATAGTTTCTATGAATTTCTAATCTTCTGTGTGGAGATCCCAAACTGAATGCCTGGTTTCCTATGGACTGACTTCTAACAAATTGCTAATTTTAGTTAAGTACTTATTTATTCCTCTTTTTACCCTTGCCTTCCATTCCCATGGATCTGCTTCACATAGTAAAGGACTGCTACCCGATACCTCATTTTTATAATATAATCCCATGTTAATATATAATTCACGAGGGGCCCGGGGGGGGGAAAGAATGTCATAGGATGAGTCTAGTGTAGTGATATCAACATAAAACTGGTACATAAGCTGTAGTATCAATAAGATGCTTATGATTTCCATATTCCTATATTGTTTAAATCTACACAATCAAGGAAACCTAAGTACTTAGATATAATTGAATCATCATATTAGCATTGATAGTCTTAAATGACCAGAGAATTGATGTACTTAAATGACCAGAGCTAATTCCCCACAAAAAGGTCTATTATATTCCATTGATAATTGCAATTTATTAACAATTTTGTCATACAACGTAAGCTTCACTATGTAATATGGAAATCCAGCACAGAGAACAATCTCTTTGGATCATATCTCAAGGAATCGGTCTGCCCTATTTTCCTGATAATATGATTAATTTTAGCACATGCAAATTGGTTCAGGGAGTAAGCACTAGAAGTTGGATTCACATGTGGGAGTGGGAGTGGGAGTATAACTGGAGGGTGCAGGCAACAAATTCTTTTTGCACCTCCATTAACTTGGGATGGGAATTCCCATGTGGGAGTGGGAGTATTACTGGAGGGTGCAGGCAAAATATTATTTTCACAACTCCATGGACTAGAGATGGAAGGGCCAACGTACAAGAATTATGCTCTTCCTATGCACTAATCCAGTAACTTGTATCCTGGAGCACAATAGTACTACTAGGATCCAAGATATGTGAGACCACTAGTGCCAGAACCTTTGTCTTGAAAGCATGTGGCCTTCTTGTATTGCACAGAATCCATTACAAAAATTCTAGACCAATTCTATTTAGACCAGAAAGTCTGAATTGTTGGACTGGAACTGCACTTAAAACCACACTTCCAAACATTTACAGGTAAACTGGTCAAAACAAGTTTTAATCAGTGAAATATTTCAACTGGCTTGTTCAAGCAGTCCAAATTTTTGCCTTTGTTTTATTTTTTCATTTATATTTCTGGATTAGTATGATCAGTAACCCACTTGGATAGACCAACATGGACCAATGTTATTAAGACCAGACCAGCAGTCAAACTTGTAGGGTCACCCTTTAGATTGGACCCAAAGAACCAGACTAGTTCACCAGTCACACCAGTCAAACAAATAAAAAAGTGATACAAAATGGGAAAACAAAGAAACATTCAACACAGAGAGAAAAGACACTTTTCTTAAAAATAATGAGGATTATGAAACAATGAAATAGGAAGTATTTGAAATTAAAATTTGAATACTTGGACAAAAAATGAATTGTTCATAATCATATCAATATCAATAAAAACAAAACTACTAGAAAAACATTCTATGAAAATGTTTCAATAGTTCAACAATTTCAAGAACTAAACAACAACAAAAACGTACAAAAATATAAAAAAATACAAAAAATCCATGGAGCAATTTTCATCCATCAACATTGAACAAAAAATAATAATAATTTTAAAACTAATGCTTATATACAAAAATGCACATAAGCCACCAAATAAGCAAAAAACTAATATCATAGTTTTAAAATGCAACCGCATAATAATGCGTCATGCAGCCTAGAGCGCATCACTCCTGGTCACATATGCAAAAAAATGTGATGTACCCATGTAGCGGTGCATCACTTGCACATGGGGGCAAACCGCATCATACGAGCAATGTGTCGACATGTGTGCTCATGCGCGAAAACTAAGCCCATGAGCATGGGCCAAATTGTCTTTTTGCCCTTGTAAAAGGGCGGGGGGGGGGGGGGGTGTGAAGGCTATATGGTAACTATTTTACATAGTTCTAAGATGATTAAACCGGTATATACTACAGGGAATGCCAAAAGCATGCCCACAAGCAATTGATGGGAATGGAAGAGAGACTAGGGAATACAAAGATAGCCAAGAAAAGCAAAAGAAAAGAAGAAACTGAGACAAAAGAAAATGATGGAAGAAATTCAAGTATTTGATAACTTAGAGTTGATTATCTTTTTTTTTTTTTTTTACACCATGAACTTTTGGTCCTTGCTTCTTTGGATTGGAACCTTAGATATTTTATATGAGATGGAATGGCTTGTTTTGTTTTGTTTTACATGACAATTGTGTTAGACATTGAAACTATTAAAGATTAGAAGTTAGAACAACTATATTATTCTTTATTAAGCTATCGAGAGACTTTGAGCTTCAAACAACTAATATATATATATATATATATATATATTAAAATATCTACTATCATATAAATCACATTTATGTTTTTTTTATGCATTATTATATTTTTTATTTTTAAAATTTATTGACCACGTTAGAGATGATGCACCCACATTGGGTTTGCATCCTGCATTTTAAAACACTAACTACAACAGTAACTATTAAAGCAAAAACAGCCATTAAATTGAATACAAGAAACAAACTATTAGACTTATTTGGGAAAAAATCAGTCTAGCAAAAACTAGAAACCAAAAAATAAATTCTAATTTTTCTAAATATAATTGCTACATATAAAAAAAAGAAGTCCAATAAAAGGATAATGAACTCATTTGGGCCTTAAAATAGGTGAATTGATGGCTAAGAATCCCCTCCAACTGTTCCCAAATTTTATATTAGTCTTTCAGGTAGAGAGAGAGTAGTTGTCTCTCTCTAAAAGAAAAATTTTAAACACCCAAACCATCTAAAATATTAAAAAGGATCAAGTTACCCCTAAGCAAATTAAAAATGTCAAAAAAAAGAAACCAAAAAAAAACCCGAAGATGAAAAAACAAATGATGTCAGACCTACTTTGGAACTGGCCAGTTCAATCTTGGACAGGTTGAACTAGCAAGTCAAGTTATCAAACCAGCCCGTTCACTGGTTTGCTGGTCCTAGCAGTTTGGTCCCCTAGTTCTTCAAGTAGGACCACCAGTTTCTAGCCAAAACCTGTCAATCCGGTCTTGTAGTAACACTTAATTTTGGACTATAACAAACCTCAGCAGTTCAATGACCATGGTCCTGATAACATTATTCAAGACTAAAATTCTTAACCAGTGTTCTAGAAAATGTTGTCCAGGGCTCGGACACACCCAAGTCATTAGGACCTAGTAGGGTGCCGGGTCTAGATGACTAACCCTAACATTGAGCAAGTCTGACCCAAGTCCTTGAATCTTATGCATTTTAACTGAACCGAGTCAAGCAATCCAACTCAGTTGAGGCAGCCTCTTGCCCAACTCGGAACCCTGGCAAGTCCATGACCAAGTCAAGAATTCTCAAAACCTAGTTTCAACCATCAATTCTCAAATACATTATCTTCAGAGCATATTAAGAAGAAAATTTTCCTCTACCCATGTGTTTTAGTGTTACATTTTAAATAAACACTAGGGCAATGAGATATTTACTTTTTAAAACATAAATTTCATAGTTTAATGGAATTAAGTTGTCCCATTAACAACAAAGGCAATTAGAGATATGGGACCCTACAGAGGGAGCAAAAAGTCGATCTTCCACATAAAGGAGAGATTGGATATGGTAAAAACTGTTTGCAGTTGAAGTAAAATATCTTTAGAATCAGCTAAATGTATTTATCCATTTCTTTGATACCAAAAATAAAGCGTTTGACTGACCAGTTTGGTTTGCAACAGACAAAATACATTTACAGAGGTCACCCAAGCATTGTGTAACTGATGCAACGAGAATCAAGTAGGCAAGAAATTCTCAAAGAGGGTGAGGGCAACAACTACAAGAGGAGCTCAAAAACTCAAAAGTAACAAAATACAACCTAAAATTCAAAACTATCTACAATGGACCTGTGGCAACCTTTTTATGAGAAAATGAAGTTCTAAATTTCGAAACCAAGAAAAGAACTTAAACCAACACTCCCAACCAAGTCCCCAGTCCCCATATATTGGAAACCCAAAAGTCATTATAAACGAAGGATCCATTAAATGTAGAAAGTCAATCCTAGAATAAATTGGAACTAAACAAAGTACAAAACTTAACCAAAA